ACTGACCTGCAGTCATATATTAGATCACAGTGAAAAATAAAACTGCTTCGGTCAAAAAAAGCTGAAGTTACCAACTCTTGCTTCCTTGAGTAGTTCGCTATTTAACAGTAGTTTAACTTTGGATCTCTGATCAAAGGTCAAGACACAAAAAGAGGTCACGCTTGTGATTCCGTGAAAATTCGGGGACGATGCCTGAAAAATCTAGGTTTCTTACTTTCGCAATCTGCAGCTGATTATCCGGACAAACTCATACACGCAAACACACATAAGCAAACATGAAACATTTTATACGTATACACCATACACATACGTCGTTCACATACATATCACATTCACACACACACACACACACACACACGCACAAGCACACACACACACACACACACACCAGTGAAATCTGAAAGCCGATTTTGGTCTTTCAATTCATCCCCACCTTCTGCACTATTTTGCTAAAATAACCTCTAAAAACATCACATCTGTAGCTTTATCATAATCGCTATGGCGCTTCTGGCATCAACCTGAATTTTGACCTGAAGCCATAAGCCATTACGCGAAATGAGCTGAAATTGATTTCAAACTATGACTTTGAACCTGGTCGACAACAGTGTTCTGGATTTGCTGGTGTTCCTGGCTCTCGTAATTCAGACATCCTCACTTGTGCACACACAAACGCATTTACACGTGTATGCGTGCATGTGTGCCTAAATACACATATGCATACTTGCTTGCATTTACATACACACATACATACGTGATGCTGTTGTAGTACTTGGCTGAACAAATCATTTATGCAAAAAACCGGCCCTGACTGTCTCTCCACTGTTCGCGAAGCGATGGCTGGCTACAGCTATCTGGATAACTGGCATTGAACAAATTTGCATAAGTGATGATTTTGACGTGTAGTTAAAGACGTAGAGGAATTCCGTCACCTCATAACCACAAATCGATTCGATTAGCCGGCGGGTCGGATGCCGTCCTTAGTCACAGGTACATTTGCACTTCCTCATCGGTGTTTGCTAAATCGTTAGTGCTATCATCATTCGTTCACGTAAGACTACTTGGGGTACTAAGTTGATCCGTCAACTTCGAGAAATCTGAATCCGTGACTTATTTAATCTGATTCTCTGTTTGGTTTATGATCAATAACTTGCAAAAAAGCCTGAATACTAACCTCAAGCTGTTCACACCCAGGCTTGGTGGATTAAACCCCTGAACTTTTGGCCATATAGGAATCTGTTAACTGTGTTGCTATTTAGAATAAAACTCAGAAAAAGGTCAAATGAAGGTGAAATTTGACTATCAGTTTTCTTAATTTGTCCCGCACGATACACCTTATTTTAAATCCAAAAATAATGTGTATTTTGTCCCTCACCGAATTATAGCGTCAGCTTAAGTCTTCAACTGTGGTCAGCGCAGCTTACAGCTACTTCACTTACTCAGGCACACACAACACACACACACACACACATACATACACATTCACGCACAAACCTGCGAAGATGAACTCGTCATAATGCTTTTTTTCAAAAATTATCTAACAAAAGCGCAAGTTTTACAGACAAATTATAGAAATTCATTAAGAGTTGCCGCACTGAAAAAATTATATACTTTTCCCTCTCTACGATTTGCTCATTCGTTTCGATGTCAAGTTGGTGCTGTTATACGTTAGGGAATCGAGTCCGCTATCAATTTATTTATCCCTCGAAAAAGGGACCCATCAAAAGCTTTGCCAGCGAGTGGTTGCAGTTGGCGTTGCTATTAGTGCTTCCGCTGCTTTCCGAGTGCTTCCGCTT